CTGCCAGCCCAGTGCTGCCCAGTAACACCAGTACAGAATGGAAACCAGGGGAAAGCAGAGCAGCAGCAGGAGGACCAAGGACTGAAAGGAGAAATGCCAAACCCCACCATGAGCTGTACCTGGGAAAGGCGACAGCACCAGGAGAACATCCTGGAACAGCGAGGGGAAAACCAGAGGTTTCTGCTGCCAAAAGAGGAGGAAACACTAAAAGCAGATGGGAAAAGAGGAGAAAACACCCAGAAAACATCCATTTACTTCACACATCAGTCAATAATTTGGTGTGATGAGATCATCAGCACAATCAAGACACAAAGGAGAGATCAAACTTCCAGAGCTGGGGACAGGTATTGAGACAACACTCAGATAAAGTGACCAGCAAGCACGTTAGAATTTTTCAAAATTAAATTAATTACTTTTAAATCTAAATTTTTAAAACTTAATTACCTTTAAATCTAAATTTTTAAAACTTAATTACCTTTAAATTTAAATTTTTAAAACTTAATTACCTTTAAATTTAAATTTTTAAAACTTAATTACCTTTAAATTTTTTTAAACTTAAATTAATTACTTTTAAATTTAATTTTTTTAAACTTAAATTAATTACCTTTAAATTTAAGTTTTTAAAATTAAATTACTTTTAAATTTAATTTTTAAAACTTAAATTAATTATTTTTAAATGTAAATTTTTAAAACTTAAATTAATTACTTTTAAATTTAAATTTTTAAAACTTAATTACCTTTAAATTTAATTTTTTTATAAACTTAAATTAATTACTTTTAAAGTTAATTTTTTTAAAATTAATTACTTTTTAAAAAGGTAAATGTGTGTTTAGGGGCTAGTAACCCCCTAAAACCAACACAACTTTCATCTTCCCTGTAAAAGAAAAATAAAAAGCCAACTAAATTAAAAAAAAACCCCCAGACTCCCAAATCTTACAAGGCCTGGGAGAAAGCTATATATTTTTTTTAATTAGTTTAATTTTTTAAATTATCATTTAATTAACCCAGAGCTGCTGAGGTGAGACTAGTGAATGTTGCTTATTTTTAAAAGGTTTTTTAACCCAGAGAAACCAGGAAATGGGGATAAAATAACATGAGCTCAAGTTCTGCAAACCTCCTGGCACATGTGAGCACACAGCTGGGAGATGAGACAGCAGGTAGAGGCCAAGACATTATTTTGCCTTAAGAAATTAAGATTTAAGCAACAATCTTTTCTTTTTATTGTCCCTTGTTATTCCCAAGAGATAAAATAATGTCTTAAAATCCATATCCAACTTCTGCAAATTCCCTTTTATGAGGAAGGAAATAAAATCTCTGTAAATTAAACATAGAGGGAGGGGAAAAAAAATCAGATTCAACTAATTATTGTTAATAATTCACTGCTGAAAGAAAAAATTACAGAGCAGAGTTTCCATGGTGAACCAGGAGGAATAAACACTTAATAAATAGTTCTAACTTTGTAGGTTAGCTAGCACATAGGGGCATTTAAAAGTGTCATTTTAAAAGGATGATTTCATTGAAAATGAGCAAAAGCAGAGAGATGAAAAGCAGGATAAAGGGGAATCATGATACTTCAAAAAAAAATCTGGGCAAAATAAGAGATAAAGATCAACCCTGTGGGCAGCAGCTGCCTGTAAAACATCTTGTAAAGCTCGAGTCAAAGGCATCTCCCAAAGTTTCCTGTGGAAATGGATGAGTGTAATATATATTAATTACTCCTTTCCTGCTAATTAGTGCTGGTAAAGCTCAGATGGAGATTTATTTTGGGAGTATCACACTAGGAAAAAAATATGGTTGAAGTCTGGAGAAAAATAAATAAACCAAAAAGTCTGATGCCTTAAAAAAAGATAAATAAATAAATTAAGGTTTCAAAAGGAAAGTTGGAAAAAATCCAGGGAGAAAAGAATGAGGAAAAAAATGTTATAATAGGGTTTTGTTGGTTTTTTTTTTTTTCAAATACAGTAATTTCCCAAATCTCACTAGGAACGGGTAGTAGAGCAAAGATGTGGTAGATCTTTTAGCAGTTAATATTACTGTTAAATATTAAAATAGATTCATCAAGGAGACACCAGAATCTCCATCATCACGTTGATTTAATCCTAAATGATATGATAACACGGGAATTGAGCAAAATTGACCCTGCTGGGGAAAAAGTTGGGAACTGAAGAGCTTTTCCAAGTCTCTTTTTGTTTAATTTTCCTATAATAAAGGTCCTAGAGCAAGAAATATCAGGGCAACTAACGACAAAACAAGGGGAAATGGGTTTAGGCTGAAAGAGGGGAGGTTTAGATGAGATATTAGGAAGAAGTTCTTCACTTTGAGGTGGTCAGACACTGGAACAGGTTGCCCAAGGAAGTTGTGGCTGCTCCTCCCTGGAAGTGTTGAAGGCCAGGTTGGATGAGGCTTTGAGCAACGTGGTCTAGTGGAAGGTGTCCCTGCTGATGGCAGGGGGGTTGGGACTGGATGAGTTTAAGGTCCCTCCCAACCCAAACCAGTCTGGGATTCTATGAAATATAAACCCAACTCACCTTGTTTATGCACCTGAGGCGGCGACTGGCTGGAGAGAACAACGCAGTCGTCTGACTCGCAGCTGGTCGAACTGATTTCATCAACCTCCTATAAACCCAGATCAAATATTAGGGGAATCAAAAAAGAAAACTCCTGAGTTGATTAAGTTCTCAAAGAGCAGCTACAGAACGGCAGAGAGTTGGAGTGACCTTCACAATCAGCTTTAAATGATGTTATGAATTGTCACCAAGGGTGGCACCTCCCGAGAACCAAACGCGGTCGCAGCAGATGACCCGCCTCATTTTTATTAAATAAAAAGGTTAAAATTCTACTTGAATGGTGAATTTGGGAAAATTTCCTGAACACACCACATCCCAGCACTGAGAAAAATTAATTCCTCATGAGTTCCTCACAATACTGTCAGTATTTCTCACCTACCTGGCTTTGATGAGTGTGAAACCAAAACTCAGCGTACACCACCCGTCCTGGATTTGGATTCTCAGCACCTTCCCCCCCGCCTCCCTCTGCCCCTGTGTTTGTTTTACTGCAGGATGATGAGGTTTTTTTTAAACATTTGGGTTTTTAAAACATTTGTTTTGAAGTAAATCTGAATTGTAGAGGTTTCTATCATTTCTTCACCTTACCATTTGTGAGATTCCCCTTCATTCTCTGCTTCCAACTGTGATTTCCCTCTCTCGTGAGAGCTGTGAAATTCATTTTCTACTCTGGGAGCTCTCACAAATATTCTATAAAAATCAAACTTTCCCAAACTGCTTTTTGCCTTCAATTCTTGCTCTTTTTTTTTACATGACAGTTTAATATTTCCCATCTCATCAGGAACTCTAGAAAGCCATCAGGTAAAGCCACCACCTCCAGCTAAACCTGAGACAAGCTGAAGGCCCAGACTTGGCCTGGATTCAGTTTGCAGTAACAAAAATCACTTAAATCCCTTTTCCAACTTTCCACATTTCTGGTTAATCTCTGAGAAATAATTTGCCAACACACAAAAAAAAAAAAACTTGCCAGCACAGCAGAATGAAACTCAAGTTGTATTTTGATTTAATTGCACGTGCAAGATTAGGCTGCACAAGGGAAGGTTTGTGTTTGATTAATGCTGCGTTGTAAAAAATGTATTGATGATGAAATCAGGAATGTGTGAGAGAGAATAAAACTCTGCAGGTGAAGAAAGGAGGCAATAAAATGTCTTTTATGGAAACAACCCAGGGATATAAAACACATGAGCCCTAAAAAACAGCTTCTCATCTTGTTCACTGCTTAATTCCAATGCCCACTATAAAATAAAACAGCAGCATTCTGCTGGCTGCTCCCAATTACTGACATTGCAGGTGCCAGAAAGCAACAGGGAAATACAGATCCCAGAATGGCCTGGGTGGGAAATGACCTTGGAGATCACTGATTCCAACCATGAACCCAACACTGACCAGTCCCCTATGACTAACCCATGTCCCTCAGCACTGTGTCTACACGACTCTTCAATCCCTCCAGGGATGGGGACTCCACCACTGCCCTGGGCAACCCCTTCCAATGCCTCAGAACCCTTTCAGCAAAGAAATTCTTCCTCACATCCCATCTCAACTGCCCTGGCCACAACTTCAGCCCATTTCCTCTTGTCCTGTCCCTTGGGCCTTGGTTGAACAGACCCACCCCCACCTCTCTCCACCCTCCTCCAAGGGACTTGCACAGAGCCACAAGGTCTCCCCTCAGCCTCCTTTGCTCCAGGCTCAACACCCCCAGTTCCCTCAGCCACAAGGGAACTCAGCACACTTGTGCTCCAGACCCTTCCCCAGCTCCGTTCCCTTCTCTGGACACGCTCCAGCACCTCCATGTCCTTCTTGGACTCAGGGGCCCAACACTGAACCCAGCACTCCAGCTGCGGCCTCACCAGTGATTCCCAGTGCAGGGGGAATAGAACTTCCCTGCTCCTACTGGCCACACTGGTGCCAGGAGTATTTACTGCTAAGGGGGCAGCAGATAAAAATGGCTTTTACCTCCTCAGTGATACAATAAAAGGTGAAAGTTCTTCAAACACACAGATTAGCTCAGAAAACTCATGGTTAAGTTTGTTAAAGCACAAGAACCCGGGGCTCAGCCTCACTTCCTCGCAG